ACGAGTTCACTTGTGACAAGGAATAGAATTTGTAAGATTGTAATTGTCACTGAGCATGAGTGGCTGACTCATTTTCATATTTAGTTTTTTTTTTCTTTATTCATCTGTCTAGGATTACCAAATGGGTTCTCACTTTGAGCTCACGACTGAAAACGAAACTGTAGGAAAGTAAATAAATTGTGTACTCGTGTTCAAAGAGCGCAATAAAGTTATCAGCGGGGGTTTGCGTGGGTCCAGAAAGTGAACACGCACTGCATTGCAAAATATCTAGAAGAATTAACACTTACTTGTATTTTAATGTTTGTAATGCAGGCTAGAACTTAAAATTGAAACCTCAGTCCACATTTCCCACTGGCAAATTGACTTTTATTCTCTGCTTTAAATCTCAATAGCCGGTATAAACCAAACACTCCCCGCTAACACACTCATGATCACTCACGTGTCTCCGTCTTCATCCTGGCAGGTAGTTCTGCTGTAGTCCATCCTGCTAAGCAGCATTCTGGCTTCCTCGAGCTTGGTGGTATCCATTGTTGAACTGAAAGTCAGCTGTGTGGTCTGGCTTGGGTCCAGAAGTGACCAGGAAGAATCTGAGAGAGCCCCCAGGCAGTCCTGTGCAAAGGAATGCAGATTTTACTCAACAAACTCAAGATAGGATTATCAAACTTGCAAAGTCTGCAAACAAAGGCTAACACTTACATATGGCTGGGACATTGTTTCCACAAATGGATGGACTGGTTGCTGTGTGTATTCAGGTGTCATTGTGTGGCTGTAGGTTGTGGTAAAGCTGGTTCCTGGTTGGTTGCCATAGAAACTGAGTGACTCAGGAGCTGGGGCCCACTGCTCATAGCTCACTGCCATGTCTGAGTAGCTACTTGCTGCACCTAGAAAGAAGAAAACTTCTTTTTATCACTGAAAAGATAAAATTACTTAAATAACAAGATCTCTGATATACTTTTGGTTGATTCTCTACTCTCTGTGTTGCAATCATTTGCAATAGTTTTTGCAATAGTTGAGGTCAGTATTAATAAGAAAAATGCTTATTAATGCCTACACATCCAAAGTTTTTTGCATTTAGTCTTTAACAGAAGCTGCCCAGTCCTTACCTGTACAGGAAAATGGTTCTGATGGAGGCAATTGCTGCAAAAAGAAGAAGAAGCAGGAAAAACTGTGAACAATCAAATCCTGATAATGTAAAATTTGATGAGATGCACAGGTACTATATGTGCTGGCTTACTGTAACAGTAGCTGGAGGAACAGGACTTGTGCTGGTTGTCGGGCAGCAGGGTGGCACAGAGGACGTCTCGCGTCTTCTCTTCTGCTCCAAGAGTTTTTTCACTGTGGGCAGTGTGCAACACGGCTTCTCTTTTGGCGCTGGGAAAGTAAGTAATATGGAAATTGCTCAATTTTTCAACATACTGGCAAGCCTCCTCAGTCCAAATCATGATATTCCAACCACCTTGCTTCACAGTTGGTGTGAGGTTCCTTCCTTGTCTACTGTCCCCGTGACCAGCTGTATACACCATAATGATCCTAAAGGTTTGCCTAGCTATGCCTATATGTGTCCAAATGCAGGTCAAATTTGAATGTCTTTGTTTCTGTAGATGCACTTAGACACAAACAGAAGAGTCACCTGCAGACCCTGTGATTCCTTGGTAGCATTTTTGGACCATCAAATCGTGTAGCCTCAATTTAGCGAAGGGTGCAATTAAGGACAAATTTGAGACTTCTTAAATCTCATCCCAGTTACAGGGATCCACAACCTTTTTTGTGTTTAGATACCTCTATTAGAGAGCTCTTTAGACCTTGGCCTAATGGAGGGAGATGAGAACAACAGACCCAGAGGTTCAACTTGTTACACAAGCGAGACTAATGATTGGAACCTGATTCCAACTTCACTGATTTTAAGGTGTGGTAAGTGTATGGGCATGAGCGTACTTTTCTTTTCTTTTTTTCTGCGTGATTCATGTCTTTAAATTTATTCAAATGTACATAAATGACAACAAAATGTAAATTTTAGATGTATGTTCTCTATCTGTTGCCTTTTTACTTCTTTAATCACATGACTATATACTGGTGACATTTAATCAATATCAGAGGCAATGTTTAATCATCACTAGTCATTTGTTTGCTTTCGTCTAGAATGTCTTGGAGTATCGAAAGGTTTTCTACAGCCAAAGATACATTTTCTTTTTCTTGTTTCTTACAGACTTACTTTACAAAGATCTAAAATAGGGTGAAGATGCAAATTTTGAGATTTGAAAAATGAAAGCAGAGAACGCTTGAATACCTGCCTTTTTTTTTTTTCTTTCTGTTAATCCACTAATGAATGAATGCAATGAGCGTTTCATGTCTGGAAATATCAATTTGAAATGTTTTCCAACAAAAGGACAAACTTGTTTACAGCCATTAAAACTTAGCTTATCAAAAAGTTAAACCTTCAAACGAATAAATGAAGTCTGATCACAGACAGCCTTTTTATGTCTACAGAAGTGGATTTACTCTCACTGTGTACTCTATGGAGTCTATCTGCCACTTGGCTTTGATTTGTTGAGGGTTAACTGTCAACCAGCCTAATGATATAAATATCACTGATATAAATGAAGCTTAAAAGGTATGAAAGCATCAGAATAAGAAATATAAAGTGAGTCGTGAGCTTATGATTCATTTATCAAATGAATCACAAGCTGTACAACTCTCATCACATCTCATTTTCTCCACGCTCACCTTTCACATACATTCACATCAAGTCCATTATGCAGTGAGTGTGTTTTCCCTTTCTGATACTAAAGTATCATTTCCACTGAACAGGTAAAGGAAATCAGAAAAATAGGAAACAAATATTACAAAACAGAATTCAGATGTTTCCAGCTGAGATGTTGTGACCACACAGGTTGTTTCCTCAAAAACTTCACCCCACATGTGTAAGATAAAGTGATATTTCCACCCTGTCTGTGGAACTGCGGTACAAAAGACAAAGCTATGCAAAACCTCCTCCATTAGGAACACAGATAATGTGGCCAAGCAAACCAGACAGATTAATCAGAAAGGCTGTAGTATGGGATAACCACTGCTTATTTTCTATGACATCTTCCTGTAGTACCGCTCCGTTACGCTACACAATGGCAAACCACATCTTCCTGCCTTGGTGTGTCACAGGCTTGTCACCTCAACACGTGTAGTTGCCTTGTGCTTTCTATTGAACCATGTCTGGAAGGTAGAGCACAAGAAGTCTGCTCTTTTGTCACGTCTCTGTTTTGTTTTGTTTGGGGTTTGTGTTGTTGTTGTTGTTGTTGTTTGTTAGCTTTTACTTTATGAATATTAAGCCTTACAGGGACAACACAGCCCTGTTCACCAAAGCAAACACACGGAGTGTGCGCTTCCGGAAAAAAAATGCAAATTCGACCACTGAGATGAAAAAAGAAAAAAAAGAAAGAAAAGATTGTAGATCTCTGTTGGCAAGCTGTGTCGCTTCTTCTCAAAGTAGAAGGAGGAAAAAAAGAAACAATAATCTCACTTCCACTTAAAAACCAGTCCTTGACAATAAGCTCATGGTGCTGTGTGTCATATGCCCCCCCCCAGCACACAATAAAGGTCACTTAATGAGAATACATGACATCAGTCTGTACATTTCAGGGCCGCAAGTTTCATTTTCAAGTTCAAAAGGTGTTACAATAGGTTACACAATCCTGACTCATTTTAACTTTATATTAAAATGTCACCTTTGGCCCGGTGATGTAATGCTGCAATATAAGTGCATATTCTCTGTTCAAAAGTATCTCTGAAAAGATGCCACCAGTTGATCGAAGTTGCCCTGTAGGCTGCCAGACGCCAGGAAATGGCCTGGGGGACCCACGCATGCACATACATTTGGGTTTACACTAATCTAACCCCCACGCAGCTCTGGGCTAGACTGTGCTATATTCAAATAGGTTTTGTGGAAACCCCTGGACATTGAGTCATGTGAGTGGGCGGTTGGGGATTCCGACGACCTTTCTCTTTTGGCTCTATGCTCGGTGAAAAGAAAGAAGCATACAGCCAGTTTCCTCATTTTGTGGTTTAGCAGAGCTGAATATGTAATCGTTCTGCTTGTTTTTTAAAGGGAGACCATAAACAAATAAGCTTAAGCAAACAAGATGCTGTCACGTCACACAGCCTGCCTGTCTGGCACTAATCATAAAATGGGGAAATGAAAACATACTAGCATGGGTGGAGGTGTATTAGGGTTTCCCCAAATGATGTCCTGCTTGTTGGATTCACCCGAACTGTGATGTCATATATGAAAAACCAAGCCAAGAGGAAGGCTAGTGCATGAAAGCACCAGTGAAATGACTGAACTCACTGTACTCTATTCATATCAAAAACACATCCCCCTATTGGCATAGCGTGGCAAACATAGTCTGACTATAAAAGCACACCAGGAGCTGAAAAAGAGCGATTCCTGCCACGTTTAGGAGGCAGCATCCCGATTAAAATTCATAGAAAACCCTATCAGATGTGTCCTGTCCTGTTGATGACATAGGAGGTCTGTGTTGACGTAAGCTTTTAAATGACGCCTCATTGTAATTAAACTCTAACACACACACGCACAACACAAAAAAGAGAAACAGCTTCACCATCCCTGTCTATATAAAAACCCGAAAAACATACAAAGTAATGAGTTAGCGGTGTCGTCATCACAGTCAAACTATTCACACGATCAGGCTTCTAATCTGCCGCATCAAAAGCACAAACGTACTCACATTTATCAAAGTGCATGTCAGAAACTGTTTTGCTGTGAAGTCTTCGACAGATCGTCCGCTTGCTCGCCAACCTTTTCAATGAGGGATGACCGAGGGATCTCTGACGCTCTGCCACGCTGTAGTCTGTCTGGCTTGTTTTCTTGTTGTGATAGTGCTCCACACAGAGCATGCAGTCCCTTTCCCCTCAACCCCCAGCTGTGGTCACGCCCTCGAGCACGAGGAGGGAGGGCAAAGCGTGAAAAGCAGAAAGAAAAAAAAATTAAAAAAAATAAAAGTGTGAGAACGAGCTGTGAGTTATGCGAGCAAAAGGTATGACAAGTGAATAAAGAGTTGTTTATATTTAGGCGCTGTTTCGGACAGAAGAGCGTTTATTTATAAATGGTTACCATTACTTCACCCTGCACCAGCTGAACGACTAAACCGCCTCAGGAATGAGTAATGGGTTGTCCAGTCTCGTAGTAGGCTAACAATAAACACAATCAGACATTCTGCTTATAGAGTATGTTCGCTTTTAATACTTGAAGTACATTTTGAGGACAAAGGTGAGTGACGGCGAAATACATTAGTTTTTACGTTGCGCTGAAAGCCTAAACAAGCTGGAACTCCTTGACTGTTTTGTAGTACAGTTTATAATGACACTTATGTCATGTTTCAAAAGCTCATCTCAAGTTGGTAGTTTTAGATGTGTGGAATCAAAAAGGTCGTGGAAGTGATCGCAAAAGTACAACAAGTGCCTAAATGTTAAAGTAGTAACTGGCAAAGAGATAAGTGATCTGAAATTTTCAACATTGCGCTGATGCAAAACAACGTGTGATAGAAAACTAAAGAAATATAGTAACACGTTATCTCAACCTACTGTTATTATGACTTATATAAAGTTCTAAAGATAATGAACTCCTATCAAGTTTGTTTTTATAGCCAAAAAATGTGATCTCAGCTTACAGTGAACAGGGTATTTATTATGATTTAAAATATCAATTTTCTGCCATTCTGCTGCCCGCAGTGTCAATAGAGATGCCCAGACCTTCCTTTCCAGCTCTTCTTTGTGGACTGTATGTAAACTTCATGTAAACATATTATCTTTCTCTTATCTTTGTTACCAGTATAGATAAAGTCTTACGGGAATCTCTGTGTCACCTAAAGAGAAAAACAACATCAAAACATCCAACTTGGTGGTGAGTTGTTTTTTGTTTTTTGCTAAATGACTAATATATATGTTTAGGGTTTTTTTTGCCTACTTTCTCCATAAACAATTGTCAGACAACACAGAGAGAGGTTGAACAACATAATAATGCAGAAAGATGTAAACAAGTGGAAAAAAGAGTTTAGAATATATATTTAAAGAATGTGTAATTGTGAAAAAGTGCTACTAAACAATGTTAAAGGAAAAATGTGGCTCATCAGATATTTAGCTGTGGGTTTAGTTATTTTTGAAAGGTTTGGATATTCCATTTGTGTGCTTGCTGTAAATATGCTCTCAGATATGAACCTACCCAGAGGACTAAATACACACTTCCATATATTCAGGACTAGGGCTTGTGACCTGTACATTCATCACAAAATCTTATAGTGACCCTAATGCTCGCCCTGTCATACATGTTCCCATTGTGGGAATTCATATTAAACAATTCTCAAATAATTGAGCAAAAAGTGCAGTCTTCAGGCTGTCCTGAAGTCTGTGGTTTTCTGTATTATTCTCAGTCTGAGTGGGCATCCTTAATATGATTATCATTGTCTGTAAATACAGCAGTCATGCTCACTTGCTATTCAAACCTTTTGTATGCAAAGGGCAGCTAATCAGAAGAAAATCAGCTTAAAGAGAGGGTGACCTTGAAGACAGAGGTGAAAAAGCCAGTTTAAGACAAAGGTTGAACCTCGGAGTGCAGTATGAAATATGTAAAGGAATAAGATAAAATAAATAAGGATTATTTTAATCTGTGAATCATGCAGACCTACTCTAGTCAGATCCAAAACTGTAAATGGCAAGCTGAAAATGAATGTAATGGGTAAACTTCAAGCTTTTGCATCTCTTGTATGTGTGAGAATTCTGTGATTTAGGTTTTTTTCCATTTAGAAAAAGAAGAAAGAAGCAGAAAGGATCAAAAACAATGAATGGAAGAAAGTCAGATACAAAGAACAAGGACTGTACCATCTAGTGATTATAAGACAAATGTATACCGTGTTGGAAATATTTACTTATCTATATACTATAGATATATATCTTCAGATGTTTAGTTTATATCCAGTAGGCATAGTTAATGCATACAGTGGACACAGTTTAACAATAAGCCCATCCAGCTTTAACTGTCTGTGCAGCAGTCCCAAGTTTAGTCTTCATTCTATTAGATGACTCTGGACCCTGATGACTTTTTGTTGCTGAAAGCTCTGTTTAGTTCAAGGAACAACTCAGACTTGAAAGAGCAGATAAAAGAAGGGAAACTACACAAGATGTTTTCTGTGTTTAGTATATCAGGCTGTGGTCATCCACAGCCCAGCCCAAAGCCTAACCGAGAGTTCTGGCTCCACCTCTCAGTAAATTCTCCAGATGGTTTGATCTATATTCTACATCCCACATTTGCTCTGCTAATGCCAGTATACCTGTACACATAACTACTGGAAATACCTCAGGTCTGCCACACGCTCAGCTACACTTTTCCTAGTAAGAAAGAAAACTAATAAGCTTCTTTCAGAGAAAGTTATGCATCATTCTTCAGAGAATCTTTTCAGGGTAAACAATCAACCTCTGGGGACTTCTTCTCATGTTTTGGTAGCAACTATTTACAGGGCTCCAAAATTATGTTAAAAGTATTTTTTTAAACTATTTAAAGATATGGGGATTTTAAAGATTTTAACTTACTTTCTTAGTCATACTTATGTTATTAGATTAAGTCACAGTAACTATGTAACCATCAAAGATATGGCAGTTCTTTGATGTCCCCTTATCTTCACATATTCAGAAGAGATAAGTGTCTACAAATAACAGTATTCTTCTTAAGGAGGCTATTTAAAGGATAATGAGAATCTGTAGTTAATTTGCTGAATAATATCTTTAATGCTAAGCATAATAGATATACAGTCAGTGGCCACAATATTAGTTACACCCAAATCACCTGCTCATTAATACAATTATCAAAATTAGCCAATCACACAAAAGCAACTCAGTGACATGGACATGGTCAAGACTGTCTGAAGTTAATACTGAGCATAAGAATGGGGAAGGTAAGTGACTTAAATGACGCTGACTATGGCACAGTCGCTGGTGCCATACTGACTGATCTGAGTATTTCAGAAACTGCTGATGCACTGGGATTTTCCCACACAACCATCTCTAGGGTTTACAGAGAATGGTCCAAAAAAAGAACATGTCCAGTGAGTGGTAGTGAACATGTCTTGTTCATGCCAGAGGTCAGTGGCAAAAGTAAATCAAATCACAACAGTTTTCAACTGAGCTACAGAAGAGCATCTCTGAACACACATGTCGAATCTTAAAGCAGATGGGCTGCAACAGCAGAAGACCACACAGGGTGCCACTCACACAGCTAAGAACAGGAAACTGAGGCTACAGGTTACACAGGCTCACCGAACATGGACAACAGAAAACTGTAAAAACATTGCCTGCGATTTCTGCTGCAACATTTTGATGGCGGGGTCACCACCATCCTGCTTTGTATCAGTCGTTCTGGTGGGTGGTGTTGGTGTAATGATGCTGAGGTTGTTTTCTTGGCACACACATAGACACTGTTTAAACACCACAGCATAACCTGAGTATTTTTGCTTACCTTAATGACTGCTGTACCCATCTTCTGATGGCTGCTTGGAGCAGGAAAATACACTATGTCACAAAGCATAAATGATCTCAAACTAGTTTATTGATCATGAGAATGAGTTCACTTTTCTCAAATGGTCATTATGGATTTGCAGCTAACAAAATCTGCAGCAACCGTGTGATGTTATCATGTCAATATGGACCAAAATCTCTCAGGAATGTTTCTAGCTTGTTGAATCAGTGTCATGAATAATTAGAGCACTTCTGAAGGCAAAAGGAGGTCCAACCTGATACTAGCAAAGTGTACCTAATGAAGTGGCTAGTGGATCGCTTTACTAAAATAGTAACCAACAAACCCAAAGTATTTTAAGACTCAAATGTTGAACTATGTTGTTTTATTATATTATATGTTGCTTCACATCAAGAAGGTTCTGAGTCTGCTGGCATGTTCCTCCCATACTCTGGTTACTCTGGTTTCCTCAGTCCAAAATCTAGAAATTACTTGGATTAGATTAATTGGTGATTCCAAATTGCCCATTGGGATCATTTGGATAATTGCCCATTCAAATCAACCATGAATTGGATAAGCAGAAGAGAATGGATGGATGTTAATTAGAATAGAAGGAAAAAGTGGAAGTACAGATTTCAGACCAATAATAAATATCAATGAAGAAATGTAATGCTAAATTAAATAAAACAGGGAAGTGTTTTTTTCACCTTCTAACATTATAGATGTGGTAAAAGCTGTACTCTGTGCTTTTCACAATCCTCTATAAGGTAACTAACCTCACCCACAGGTTATACATTCACTGCTTTTGTGGCTACAAAGCTTGTTTACAGAAGAGACAGCAAGAAAGCAGTCGTAGCCATGTGTGCATCAATGTGCACCTTTATTTTTCTGTGGTCTGTTAACTGTTTTACTTCAATTTAAGTGTTTAGTCCTGCTATTTCTCCTTTATGTTTTCTGCTTATTTATTGATCTTTGGTCTAACAGATGAGCTTGGTTATTCTATGAGAAGGCCTGCAGCTCCCTCTGCTGTTGTACAGCTAGAATATAGCAGGTGGCAGTGCAATATTGCTGACCTGAACCGAAACCGAAGTCAAACCGCACTGAACAAAATACAAGATTTATTTTGCAACCACTGGATAAAATGTGTAAACAAAGAATTTTACAAAAGTCAAAATCTGAATTGCTGGAAGAAGGGTTTCAGTGAAATGTATTTATTACAGTTTAGTTATTCAAATGAATCCTGAAATATCATTTTACGATTATATACATATTAAATAAAATATAACTTTTCTTTTCTTTTTTCTTTTCTGGCTTTTAAGAGTAGCCAAGAGTTATGTTGTAAGCATCAGCAGTGGTGACATTTAACAACCCACAGTTTCTGTCAGTGTGAACGCTGACAGCAACAACATTTGAAAAAAACAGAAACCCAAAACCACATTCAGCAGCTACAACTGCTAACAGCAGCAATGGACTGTAGTAAATAAATAAAACTGATTCCCACATTCTTCCTTTCAACATTGGATCTATTGTGGGTTTTTTGGAAACAATGTTGTACTCCATTAAATACAGATTCACTCTGTCAGAGCTCAACTGTTATTAAATAATCTGTAGTGGAGACAAGCTTGCAGACGGTGCTTCAGCCCACCAAAGGAAGTTAGAAAGTTTGACGTCAGAGATGTCAGAGGAGAAAACGAATAGCAAGTCACACCATGTTTTGGATAGCAGAAGGCAGATCAGCAAACCAGAGAAGGTACGTTTTTTTTGGACTCCCATTTACTTTCTCTTCATCATCATTTTTAATTTTAAAGATTTAATCTGTCAGAATGTTTTTATTCGGTTAGATTATTCGAGGAAAGGTTGGATTTATAAAGTTGTGAACAGGAAATGTTTGCATATGAAATGCAGTTGCTTGAGCTAAATCTTTTTGTTTATTGTTTTTTTAAATAATTGTAATGATTTAGACATATGTTAACATTTTCTGAATTTTTCATTTACTAATTTTATCTCTATCGCTTTGTAACTACCCACACAGTCCATCATGTCTCGTTGTGATGTAGAGTATACAAAAGAGGTCAAGCCTACAGTTCTGAGACATTTCAGATGTTCTGTCCTTAATACAAAAATTAAAATGTATCAAAATTCGAAGAATAGATACTGTAACATGAACTTTATTCTCCACATCTTTGGAACATGTAATATAGGACAATGTTTGGTCTCTTCTTGTCTTTCAGATAGAACATAACTGAGCCGACCTTCATGGCGATGGCAAATAACAAATTCCTCACCGTTGTCCTATTTGGTCTTTTTTTCAGTAAGGATGATTTAATAGTATTTCTCTTTTCTTTTTGTACACACACTCAAAATGAAGGTGGTCTCACACAGGAAAGTAAAACCACAAGCTGCTGTGCACGACGGAAACTTAACTGACTTGTTAGAGGAACTTAAAGTAAGTTTCAACTAACATATCCCTCATTGTTCCCTTTCTTTCTCTAAGGCCTTGCTCCAGCACTTGCTGGTAAGTATCAAAAAAGATGATGTGTCAACTTCCTAAATGCATTTTAAAAAAATGAATCTTAATGTTGAGAAAAAAAATAAAATAAAAGTAAATGTAGAACTAGGCAACCAGTCGTGATGACTCAGTTTTTCTCTACATCTCTTGGGTTTTTTTCTTTCTTCCCACTCCATTTCTGTCTAACTGTCTGTTTCTCACTTTTTGTATTTACCAGACAGCACAGTGTCTTGCTACAGGATTGAGCCAGGAACAATAGCAGGCATCATCTGTGCAGATGTGGTGCTGACCCTTATTATTGTCGTTGTAACATACCGATGTGCCAGTTTTCGGCGTCAAAAGATAGATAATGGTAAGATGACGGTGAAGGGCTCGCCGGTCCCTGGGAGCCCTTTTATTTTATCACGTTGGATTTCTTTTTTTCTTTCATATTCACCTATAAGACTGTTTCTCAACTATATTTTTACTATATTCATCAAACTGACTTCTTCTGTTATGTGTGATTTTAGCATCAAGTGTATACTTTCAACTAATAGCTTTTCTCCATTGTGCTGTCTCTTGTCTGATTTCTTCACAGCTCACAAAGTGTATATGAATGTCCGGGCCAACTGCAAGAGCTAAAAGGATGGTGCAGTGCATGAAAACACTTTCAACTTTCTTGTAGAAAACTGTTTACCTTTTTTAAAGAAATCTCCTCTGAAAATTAATTATACAAAAAAATCTTTAACTATTACATTTTAAGTTGAACACATTGTTTTGCACATTTTATATCTTACTTCTTAGACTTCAACCTGTTAATTCATACTACAAAAAATAAATAAAAGAGTCTCATAAATGGGATTTCATACTCATACAATGTGGACTGTGATTTTAAATATGTTACAAAGTTATATGAGATGTGTTTCAGTTTATTTAGTAGAGACTTTGAAAAAGGCAGTCCAGTTTTATCTTTATAGTACCATTTCACAGCAACAGTTGCCTCAAGGTACTGTTTATTGTAAAATAAGGACCCTACAATAGTACTGCATTTTAATAATATTAATTGTGTGTGATAATAATAATTGCATATGGTTAACATTCAAATACACTGTTAAAAACTATCAAGGAAACATTTGAGCAATCTTAACTTTAATTTTTGCTCTGATTTTGTATAAGTGTATTTTATTCACGGACATCAGATGTGTGGTTTAAATCTTCCTTTAATATTTTTCAGCAGTGTTATTTAATGTTAATTTAATGCAAACTATCGAAATAGTTTAACGGGACATGGAGATGTTGTGCAAATGTTCATATTATATTTACAAACTGTAAAATGTATAAAAAGTAATGCTAAAAAAATGTCCACTTTAGCACATTAATAAAAGAAAGCTAAAACATTCTTGTGTCTGGTAAGTTTTTCTTTTTTAAAGATGGAGGAATATTTCATCTTCAGACATGTTCACAGAACACATTTATATGGTTTTTAGCCAGTTAACTTAGTCTTGTTTTTCTACATTGTATAGCTTCACAGATTGTTCGGTTGCTCATTACTTTCTGTTTGTTTCTCGCTTTCATCTACTTGGTCATTCTGTAGCTGACATTTAAGACCTGATTAGATTTCAGACATGTAGGACATGATTAGATTTGGAGCGTGGTTCCGCTGTGTGGTTAACATGGCTCCACTTTGTCCTTTCAGGCAAACACAGAATGAAAAATGCTAACCAAAGTGATTTCATATCTCTTTACTTATGTGTCTGATCTCAAGTACACAGTGTGCTTGATTGATGTACAGTGTCTCCTTTCAACCGTCTCTTATTACCTTGTGAGTCATTTACTTTCACAGTTTTGTGGATGATGTCAACTTTTAAAGCTAAACTTCCGGTGATGTGTAGCAAATATGCCTTGCTGCCTGTTTCTTTGTTAATTAACAGAAAATGTTACACAACACAACATTTCCCTGTTAATCTGTGTTTGTGTAAAAAAGTGTATTTGAAATTATTTTTATATTTTATATTTTATTTATTTTGTTTTATATTTTAAAAACAGTCTTCCAAGTAATTAATTTCTAAGTAATTGAATAAAGGTCAAGAGTGTCACCTAATAAGACATCAGTTCAGGTTTATGCTCTGAGCCACCTGATCATCGCTATGTCTCCACTTCATTGGGCTCACATGTCACCTGTCACCCCCATTTATCAGACATTACTTTTGGTGGGGAACTCTACAAAGTGATGTTAAAGGCTATAAAGTTGCCTGTTCCACCAGTGCACAAAACAAAAGCAGCACTCAATGACCATCAATGGCCATCAGGTTTACTTCAACCACTAACCACCCCCATAGACCTTGGTCACATATAACTTTAGACTTTGCTACCAGCGAGCCCGTTTCCTCCAGTCCGTAATTCTCCCTGCAGTTGACAGGTTCTCCAAGTCAGGCCATTTTGTCTCTCTGGACAAACTCTCCTCTGCCTCCGAAAACGCCAAGCTCTTTGTGGCTCATGTTTTCAGACTCCACAGACTCCATAAGGTCTCTGACAGAGGTCCTCAGTTCACTTCAGAGGTCTGGAAGACCTTCTGCACCTCCCTGGGAGCCAAAGTAAGCCTTAGCACCGGATACCACCGGCTATCCAATGGTCAAACCGAAAGTTGTCGACATGTTTGGACCTGGACTCTGGAAGCATTACTAAGGACCGCTGATGGACAGCGCTGCTACGGGGATCGGCTGAGAAGACCAAACCCCAAGTATGCACCAGGGCTTGCTGCCAGAGGCATTCCTCTCAAATCACGCAAGCTAGCTCCATGCTATATTGGATCATATGAAGTCAGCACCTCCATGTTTTGCTCACCTCCCATCCATTGACAGCAATCAGCGAGGCAATAGCTAAGCGCAGTCATCCACTCTCCGCCAGTTTGTCAGATACCTCATGGTGGTAACCAGGCCTCATTGCTTCGTATCTTTATGTCTATGCTCTTTACTTGCCTTGATTTCCTTGTGCCTTCAGTTTCTGACATGACACCGCGTAACTCGTGTGCAGCTCAAGTTTTGGCTACCCTCCTCAGTGCTCCATGCTCTCCTCCTGCAAATAAGACCGCAAATTCAGTGTTCACCTTTTCCCCAGTAATTGCTCTCCCCACCCAACACCTAACTTAGTTCTCCCTCTGTTTCAATGCCTTCATGTTAGACACTCACACTATGTTCTTAAATCTGTAAAGTGAAAGTAAATACAAAACTTCAAGGATGTTTCACTGATAATTATCAGAAACAGTCAAAATGCTTGAATTTGTCTTGCAAAATAGTGATACTGAAAACATGGAAAAACACAAGTCTTGTTTTAATGTTCATACACTCACTGATTCTGAATTTGTGCTCAATATATCACTGGGTGTCCTGAAACGCAGCACCCAGTTGCTACTAACCCTCTTAATTACTACGGGAACAGTAATGTGTATATTTGGTGAAATGTGGGAATCTGCTTGACAATAACAGTGAAGCTTTCATTTTTACAGACAGTACACCCGACTTATAGATAAACCGCTGGTTTTAAAACGGCCCAGAGACTAGGTAGCTCTTACTGTGGCCAACCGCTCGCACTAAACCACAGGTCATGCGGAAACGCTCTATACAGAGATACCATCACACGTATTTCTGCAGAAACTGAAGGTGTAATGAAACTGACCTCACACAGCTCCTTATCTTTGCCTAGCCTAGATTTTATTTTTATGAAAACATCGCTAAAAATTAAAATTAAAATAAATTAAAGGATTAAAGTCAAATATTTTCTTTTTATAGAGCAGCATTCCTCACAGAAATGTGGCAAAAACAGAACCACCAGCTTCCTCTTCTCTGAGTGGACTCACTTCTCCTCCTGCTATCAGAGTCATATGCTCACGAATCCTGACACCCTGACAACGCTCCCTGTGGACAGCCCTTTACCAGAGAACCCTTCTACCTTTCGATATCTAGGTGCGAGAGCCTAGCGAAAGAGAACAGAAGGACCGGAGGCTCTCACCCTCCTTGTCTCATTTCCTCTTAGACCAGAAACCAAAATCTTTAGAAGATGTCTGATGCTCTCTGTATTGTGGGTTCGTTGTTTGGTGAGTAGCGTATACTTTGGTTTTGAACATCTATAGCAATGGTAGCAAAGGAACACAGGACTACCCTCGATTCTTTTTATAACCTGAGGTTCGTTTATTCTTTTTCTCGCAGGCTCATCAGAAGGACAGCAAGGTATCTAGCTTCAACTCTTTGCTCGTGTATGATGTGTGTGTTTGGCTTTTGTATTTCAATCATATGTTGTTGGGGTTTTTTTTTTGTTTTAACAGAATGTGGTTCCTGTTACCTGATAAACATGGAATCTGTAATAGGCATTATTGCCTCTGACATCATCTTGACCATCTTCATCACTATTTCTGTATTTTGCTTTGCAACTCATCAGAGGAGAAAGAGGGAATGGGAATCACACAGTGGTGAGCACTGTATTCGTGTGCCTTTCTTTACATGTGTATGTTTGCCTAGTGGTGTTATGCCAAATGGGCATTAACCTGACACTTCTAAATCTCCTATCAGGCAAAAGAAGTGTACCATCATCAATTTCAAAGAAAATGGCAACAGAGGTCACAGAATCTCCATACCAGGTGATGTATAGACTCTTTTAAAAATAAAAAATGACTAACTAAAAACACACTTGAAACAAAACAATACATATAATGTATATTATACGTATTACAATGATGCATTGCTTTGACTTTTCTGTAGGAGTTACATGGAGTCCAGTCAGATGTTTACAGTGAACTTCGGCACTATAGGAAATGACTGAATAACATAAAAAGTATCAAAGTGCTGACAGTGTCCTGTTAGTAATTAGCTCCACAATGTAAAATATAAACTAAGATTTGTCACATTTACTCGCAAATAATTTGTTTATTCTGCATTAATTGATTGATGTTGTATTCAGTGAGTACTGCCTGGCACTAAATGTAATCGTTGCTGCTTCACGTTCCTGTTTTAGGCTGTTTTATGATATGTATTTGTATCTAACTAATAATAAATGAAACTACATTTTAAAACCAGATTTTTGGCTCAGACAGATCCTGTCAAGTCTTCAAAAGTAATTGCATTGCTTCATTTATGATTTAATTGATGTTGGCTTTATTTTCATCACACTCTGACAGCTTACACCAACACACCCAACACAGGTTAAATCAAAACATATTTATTTTTTACATTTGTTTGTTTGATCAGAGAACAAAAATGTGTGCTGAAAATCTAATTTTGGATAGAAAAAGTCCCTGCAGTATCCGGATGTGGAAGCAAACTGTCTTGAGTTGAGTCTCCTGAGTCAACAGACAGTGATCCGTGATTCATAAGGAAGACATGCAATCTGAAAATAGAGAGGAAAAATGTTAAAACTGCAATCAGAACATGTGGAACACAAGCCAGATATAGAAAACTGGTTCATCTTAAGTGAAGGAAATGTGAGGAATTAAGTCGGGCAATGTGGCATCAGTGGTTTTCTAAGTCAGGTTGGTTACTTGGAGTTATACTTGAAATGTGATTCAAATCCAGAGGAAACTGACCTCTGTGCGCTCATCAAGCGACATGGCTCTTGGATGGAATGGGCAAGCTGCTGGGCCTGTGCTCTTGTGGGACTAAAGCAAAGAAAAGATAGGATCACAAACACTGATATAACCCTCTGGAAACAGTCACTGTGTGCATTACATTAGTAATTAAGAGAACAACAAATTCTTACCAACTGGATAGGTTTCAGAGCTCATATATTCTCTGGTTTCTGTGGGAATATTAACAATTGTATAGCTTTTTTATTTCTCACAGCATAACTCCTGGAAATATGTCATACAGAATATGGTCTTACCATCATAGTCCGTTTGTTTATTGGTGCTGACTCCAGCCAGGCTGTCACTGCTGTCTTCCAAACTACCCCAATTTGGCCTTTCTCTGATTTGGCCATGGACCAACATACCACTCATCCCATTAACTTTTCCTCGTGTGGCCCACCTTTGGAGATTGGTGCTTTGACCGCCATCCTCCCAAGCATTTGTTATCCCTCCTTCCTCACTGTCTCTGCTTGCTTGGAGTTCTCCTTGAATCAAACTATGCTCCCTGCTCCCATGGTCCTGAACCAGGCTGCTGGTCATATCCATCGCTGCCATACCGTCTTTGCCCACTACAGTCACCTTCCTTGACGGAGCCTCATTTTTTGCCACAGCTCCAGGAATCATGATCTCATCGCTGTCAAGGTCTTTGGATACATCTAGGAAGAATGGAAGTCATTGCTATGCCATCTGAATCACCACATTCACCGCACTGATACAGACAGTTTGATTCAATTGGCTAATAATTTTGATTAAAAGCACTGCACCTCTGCTTTCATCTCCATTTTTGTCAAACGCATCAGGTTCTGAAATATTAGAAAATGTCTTTGTTTACTGATATTGCATTACATTCTTTTTTACTAAATTTGCACATCATCCAAATTGCTCACGTACCTGAACATCTGTTGGTTTCAGAGCTCTCTGTAGATTTGGCATCTGACATATCTGTGAATGAATTTTTAGCCATTTATTGAAAAAGTAATTGTGCTTTTTTTGTTTGTTTGAGTTCTTTTGCTTTGTTCAGTGTGTTTTTAGATGCTCTTTAAAAATGAAAAAGGAAACAACAAAAAAGTGTACCGTCTGAGTCTTGCTCATTCACAGTGCCACATAGAGGGGTCCTTTGTGCTGCATTAAACAAGTAAAAGTAAACAACAAAAACAGCACGATTACTAGAAATGTTTCTGTTCTCTTTAATGCACTCAGGATTTTTTTTTTATAGAGAACCAAAAGTAATTTGAGGATGTGAGTACATCTGAAAGCTACATTTGGAAGCACTGACCTGTGACGGCTGCAGGTGTGGTCCTTTCTGTAGTAAGTGCTAGTGCATCTACAAATTTGCAATGAACAAGTCTTGTGATCATTTCAAACAATGGTACAAGCATTGTTTAGCGACATGAATAGTTCTTACCATGTAGAAAGCTTAACACACCTTCTTTTGGGGATTGCCCTGTTAGACAGATTTGAATTTTATTACAAAATTAACAGTTTCCTGAACAATATTTAATTATTTACTCTCTTTCAATGGTTTACCTTTGATAGAAGCTGCCACCACCATATCTGCAAACGGAAGCAGGAGCAGGCAACACAAGAGGCTGAGAAAATTATTCAAGATTTCAGTTAGAAAATATATACTTATATCAAAACTAATGCAATATCTCATTTGTGGCTAGTACATGAAAGTAGCTTTAATTACAGAAGTTTAAAATGCAAAATAAATCCATCCAGACTTACATCTTCATTGCTGACTTTGGGTCCTGGGTCTGTCCACTGTTGGTCAGTAAGGGTGCAGTTAGGTGGCTTTTATGTGCTGCTGCTTTGTCTCGCTTTGTGACCTTTAATAGGCCTTGCCTTAGTTAATTATAGATTCTCACAAGAAGTATCAAATTGAGTTTTAGTCAAAGACTGTTTCTTTGTGTTGAACAGTGCGTGAATGGCACGTAGAGGAGCAACAATTAGGGTAAAGGCTCTGATATGTTTACAAAGGCCTATTCATTTCAGTTCAGTATGACAACAATCATTCTTAACATTCACAGAAGCCACTGGTCTTCCCCTCATTTATGTGTTAATTACAGGTGGCTGGGGTTTTTTTTCAGAGAAATGCCCCTGAGGCTATTCTATGGCCACAGAACATGTATTGTTTCTCCATTGTCCATTTATTCATTGTGGTTCTACAAATGTCATGAAGAGTGCAAGATTTCAGGTGAATCTATTTAAATTGCAATTTCACATATATCCCTTCTTTCTCTAGTTCTACAGTACAACCACAATGATATTAAAAGCAGGAAAATTATGTAAATCACATTTAACCCTTATTGTTCATAATCTATATGCTTTCACATTATGATTCAGATCAATTTTGAATTCATAGTAAAAGTTTACAACAAATTTTGAACAACAGATCAGATTAATTTAGAATATATACAAAACCTGTTCTGCATTAATAAATGAATGATTTATCCTTAAATATTGTTTCACAGATGATCAATATTTATTCAATGTTAATGAACACTTAGAGCAAAAGAATGCTTATTGCAAACTTGTCTGTGCTTTCAAAGCAGCAATAAAAGGTCAATCACACACATGCCATTATAATCTTGTTCTGCCGCATTCCCTCCTTTAATCTCTGTTTCAATAGTTCAGAATAGATGGATTACGTGTGGATCCCACGTGTGGGACTAATAAAGGTTATCTTATCTTATCTTATCTTATTACAGTTTGTTTATTGTTAGAGATTCTCACATGTGTTATCTGCTGGTACACACATTTATATTTAGTATAGCTTTAATGATCACTCGTCTTACTATAATTCACACTTTAACTATACATTTATACAGAACTTTATTCCATACACTTTAAGTATTTTATCTTCTTCATATTGACTGCAAATTCAGAACCCCCAATTAACCTGACAGTCTTTGGACTGTGGGGGAAAAAACCCACTCTAGATACACTGAAGTAGATCAAGCATGCAAATTCCACACAGAGATGCCACAGCAAGCATATGAACCAGGAACCTTTTTGCACTGAGGCAACAGTGTTAACCAGTCTACCACTATGCCCACCTTATTTCAGACCTCATACCTCTGTTACTTATGATCATTCCCCCTGATGTTTTACTATGATGCTGTTTGGCGATTCCACCGTGATGCTTCAAAGACCAATAGGTTCCTTTGTCTGCAGAAACCTGGGCAAATGTGGAGGAAACACTGACTATTCATGTGATAGACAAACATGGCATGTACATTTTCACAGTTTCAAAATTCCCTAAAACTACACATTTTCCTTGATTTGACGCACATTAGTGGACCTAAAAAAAATCTCAATGAATGAAGGTCATATTTGAGTTTTATTTTCGTGTATTTTGGGTCACTTTAAGAAAAGTAATCAAATTTCAACCTTAAATGATTACATTTATTATTTAGGTATTTTCCCGATGTCAGATGTGAAAATAACAGTACTGAATTAAGTAAACCGTTTGTGATGCTCAGATAAATATAGGCATAGGCCTTGCTTAAACCCACACAGGGAAAATTCACTTGTTACAAAAGCACAAGGTACAGGAAGAAAAAATTAATTAGAGATATATTAGAAAAAAATAAAAAATAGAAACAAAATAGAAACAAGAAAGTCAAAATACAATATTATGCACACAGTAATACATTTATTTATATTCATACATTTAGTTGTTTTTAACAGATGGGATGTTTTAGTCTACTTGTGGAACCGAACACTGAGTTTTACATAAACTAAAAAGCTTTAACTACAGAGACGTCCGGATCAAAGTTTCCTCCTCTAGCGAGACCTGTTGGTGGCAGACTGAGTTACAGTCTCCCTATGAAAAGCAAAAGAGAGAGCGCCCCCTGCAGGACAGGCTGGTCGCACTAAGCTCTTGATCTCGAGCATCGCCATATTGACGTCCCAACAACGCTGAGAGGTAATCGGGTTATTTAATCGCAAATATTCGTTGGTTTAGAGCTATTTGTGGGTGCTATGCACACGAGGAAAGGCTATGGATAAGTAACACAGCCGCGACGCCATTCTGCTGTTCGATCACAGTGATTCAAGGGTGTTTTTTCAAGGCGTTGTCAGCCAGTTGCCTCGCCAGCCAAGCTGGCTATTCACTCCCCTAGCTTGTTAGCTTAGCACTTTTTAGCTTTAAGAAATATATTTTTTCGAAGCTTTTTGTGAAATTCCACTTTAATAATGGGCAATTGGAAAGTCGTTTTACTACTTTAACGCAGAATTATTATTTTCTTTCCGTTACAGACCCATAGTGTGGTCGAGAGCTTGTTGTGACTTTGTACCCGGCTTTTTTTACTCTGCAGTTGGCGAAGCTAATGCTAACTAGCATGTAAGCCAGCTGCCCGGCTATCTCTTAGCTCCACAGTAGGCCTTGTGGGGCCACAGAAGGCTTGTGCGCACATTTCACCTCTTCATCAAAGTATTAAGCGGGCAAACTGGCTCCAGCTGAACGCGTGTCTCGTAGCAGATAGATCATTTGTCGACTGGATGCTCTTCGTGTGCTCATAAATTTGACATAACCTTAATAACGTTATATAGTGGTTGGCGTACGTTGGCTAGCACACTGCTCGTGTTTTCCTGATTGATACTGTTGATTTTAATTAACCTACATTTCTGCCCCGTTTCAACAGGAGATACTGGCTTGGTGTAGCCCCCAGTGATGACTGTATTGAACCCCGTACCTCCTGATTAGACTGGTTGGATGCCCCCATTTAACATTCAGGTTGCTCCATTTTATACGCCAGCACATTTCCACACACTAGACATCCCCGGGCTATCCTTAGTTTTGTTTAAACGTGTCTGTTTTACTTTAGAATTGCTCTGTTTTACTTAAGATATTATTACTGCTCTTCTGTAGCGTGTGGGGAATATTCACATTTTTCTTTTGAAAGTTTTAATCAGGCTACCATTGAGTCTAAATATGTCTTAAACTTTTTGCTACACATTGCTCATCATTTCTTCCTGTAATATTTAATAAATGCCAAGAACTGGTATGGTTTTTAACAATATATATATATGTGTATATTTTTTTTTGTCTGTTTTCCTATGTAGCTTACTTACCGTAGAGGCATTTCAGCCAACTTTGTTTCAGTTCACCTTTCACCATTGTCCTGGAGGAAACCTCCCAGGTATGCTGTGCTGTCTTATATTTCAATATTTGGCCAACATTTTATATACAAGGCTGTTTATAACAGTTGGAATGCTAAACCAGTACTCAAAAATGCTTATGTAACCATCAGTATGTATTTGTCTTGCACATTTGTGCCCCTGTGATTTTAATAGAGCTTTATTGTATAATTTCATTTGTTCTTTTTCTGTCTCATCTCAGGAGATTTAGAGAAGACCCTTTGTAGAATATGTCTGGCCCTGTTCCAAGCCGCTCTCGAGTTTACCCTGATGTAAACACACAGAGACCTCGGGAATACTGGGACTATGAGTCCCATGTTGTTGAATGGGGGTAAGGAAAAGGGGTTATTGTTGGTGACCTTGGTTTAGTTTTGTTTTTTTTTCCTTAGGTTTTTAACTCTGACTTTTAAAATTTCTTTTCCCCAGCAACCAAGACGACTATCAGCTAGTCAGAAAACTAGGGAGAGGCAAATATAGTGAAGTGTTTGAAGCCATAAACATCACAAACAATGAAAAAGTGGTCGTCAAAATACTGAAGGTATGGATGTTTATCGATTGATTGTTGGTGGATTTCACCTTGTCACTTCAGTTGAGATTTTATAAGCCTCATGAGACCTCGTCCCTGTCCATAGCCTGTCAAGAAAAAGAAAATCAAGAGAGAAATAAAGATCCTGGAGAATTTGAGGGGTGGTCCAAATATCATCTCACTGTTAGATATCGTCAAGGACCCTGTGGTAATGTTCTGTTTTTCTACTTAAAATAATTCGAGGCTTTTAAACGCGAAAGACTTTTTGCAAAAACACACATTTCCCTTTTTCTTTTAGTCACGGACCCCAGCTCTGGTGTTTGAACATGTCAACAACACAGACTTCAAGGTAATGATGTTGTGTTTTTGTGGACTGCTAATTTTGAAATGTTAATCTTACTATTTTTTCCCCAAACTGCCTCTAATTTGTTTTGTTTTTTTCTTTTACAGCAATTGTATCAAACTCTGTCCGACTTTGACATACGGTTCTACATGTACGAAATCTTAAAGGTAAGCAGTTTTTCGTACATGTGGATTGCACCAGCTGTTCTGTTATATTGGAAACGTTAGATCAATGTATATCTTTTTATTTATTTATTTTTATTTTTTTAATGGCAGGCTCTGGATTACTGCCACAGTATGGGAATTATGCACAGAGACGTCAAGCCACACAATGTAATGATTGATCATGAACATAGAAAGGTATTGTATTATTATGTTGGCTATTGTCATTATCATTTGTGGTTCACACCAGCTTGGGCTTGTAGCCCGATACAGTTATTGCAGCATATTCTGACTTGTTCTTCTTGTTCAGCTCCGTCTAATCGATTGGGGTTTGGCTGAATTCTACCATCCAAACCAAGAATACAACGTGAGAGTGGCATCCAGGTACTTCAAAGGACCC